TTTTGTTATTGTGAGTCTCCCCCTCCCTTTCCCCCCCCAAATTTTTGGTTCTTGCTTTGTTAGTCCTTAAGTTTTTTAATTGATTCCTTAGAGTCTTCAAGTTGTTTTTGGTTTTGAATTTTTAAATTAAAAAAAATGATAGTGTTATTTCTACACTTAATATTTTGTGTGTAATAAAAAAATTAATGCCATTAAGTTTTCTTTTGAGTATAGTTTTATCTGTGTTCTTTAAGTTTTAACGTGTAATATTTTTGTTATATATATGTATTTAAAAAATCCCCACAGTTGCAGTTTTTGTTCTTTCCACTGTTGCTCCATGCCAGACACTCTGCTAAGTTGAAGATACAGTGATGAACGACACAGGGTCCTTGCCTTCATGGAGTTTACAGTCTGTTGGGAAAGCTAGGCTATTAACAAACCAATGAATAAAGAATTTTCAGGTTTTGGACAAGTACTAGGAAGGAAAGAAATATGATGTGCTAATAGAGATTGGAAGTAAATTGGATGTTCTGAGGATGTGACGTTGAAGCTTAGTGGTGGCAGTGAGTTTTGTTTGGGGAGTTGCTTTAGCTTCCCCACTCTGTCAGTACATTTTAAAAAATGTTGAAACACTGAATTTCTCTTGTAAACTTTTTTGTGAAAATTGCCTTGGAAGCAATTTCAAGGCCCTCCTCCATCTTCAAACCAGATTTCTGCCCCAAATCTTGTCCTGCATGGAAAATTGGAATTGTGGTTCTGAGTTCTGAGATCAAGAAAGAGCAGGGGGAAGTTTCCCATGTGAAGGGAGCTGCTAGCACAAAGGGGACACAAAGTGCTTGGCTTGATTTAGGATTTGACAGGAGATTGGAATGACTGGAGTTTAAGGAGTGAGGAGAGTGAAACAAACGAAGTTGTTGCAAGACTTATCTGGGAAATTTTTATTATTTCCAAGTGGTAGGGCTGCTTTGACTTCTCTTCCCTCTTCCTGTCCTGTTTGATTCTGTAATCCAAATCAGTCTTCTACAAGTAATTTAGATTATTTTGCACCTTGGTACTTTCCTCCTTTATTTCTATTGCATTTTCAGTTTTTCCTGCTCGAGAACTTTGCATATGCTGTCCGCTTTTGCTTAATTGTGATTTCCTTGAAGAATCCTTCCTTGATGCTGACCAAAGTTAAGTCATTCTATTTGCTACATTTAATCATTTCATATTTGTAAACACTTGTAACAACTGTGGTTCATTAAGTATATGTGATTTGTTTTAGTGTCTATTTCTTCCTCTACAGCTGTGCTTTCCATTCTGGTAGGTACCAACCACTTGTGGTTATTTAAAATTAAATAATATTAAAAATTCAATTTCTCAGTCTTTCTAGTCAGATTTCAGGTGCTCGGTAGCCGCATGTAGCTGGCGGCTATTGTATTGGACAGCAGAAATACAGAGTCTTTTGCAATGATGGGAAGTTTTTCTTGATTTCTAAATAATCATGTGGCTATTAGCTATGATATTTTATTAAATTTAAGTAGCCACATCTGACTGTTGAAAATGGCAAGTTTGAATTGAGATATGCTGTAAGTATGAAACATGAACTTGATTTCTAGTACAAAAAATTTTTAAAATATTGGTTACATATTTAAATAATGCTATTTGACATGTTTTCTGTTAAATATATTATTACAAGTTAACTGTTTATTTTAATGTGGCTACTAGGAAATTGGAAATTGCATGTGGCTCCCCATTATATTCTGTTGAACAGCGTTAGTCTGACTCTAGACCATAAGTTTCTACAGAGGTAGGGACAGTTCCCCATGGCATCTGCAGCAGCTAGTAGTTGTTCACAAGGTTTGATGAAGGAATAAACTTTTATGTTAACTTTGAAAGTTATTGTATAATCGTTAGAGAATGTTACCTATTCAACTTTTGCTTTTCAAAATTGTTTTCTTTGTGACAGTCATTTGTAAAAATCTATGACTGTTGAGAAAAGCTTTTCTTTTGATAGTGATATAAAAAATTAATCTTATTAAATAATTAGCATGGATCATTTGTGTTCTTATCTTCCTTTTATTTTTTTCTGGCTTAGTCTGCTAAGGAGAGAGGGAACTTAAAGTCTACTAATCAGTTTTCTGTCATTTTTCTATGTCTGGCAGTTTACTTAGATGATCTGTGGTATGTTTTGGCAGATGAAAATTTATGACTATTAAATCTTAATCGTTGAGGATTATGAATGCTTTTTCCTTTACTTATACTTTGATCTTGATATTGTGATTCCTGTTCCTTTTTTTTCTTCTTCTCCCGAAAGCCCCCCAGTACATAGTTGTAGGGCTTCAGCATGGCTTGGTGAGCCATGCCATGTCTGCGCCCAGGATCTGAACCTGCAAAACCCTGGGCTGCCAAAGTGGAGTGTGCAAACTTAACCACTCAGCCACTGCCCCCGGGCGTGCCGCCCCCCCTTCCTTTTTAATTTACATTTATTAGACCTTGTTTATCCCTTTAGACTTAAAGCAATTTACTGTCTTACAGAAAGATGTCTCTTTTCTCAGCTTGGTTTATACTTTCTGATCTGCTTCCTTCCTTAATGTTTCCTTTGTGTTTAGTATTTTGCTGAATGGGCCATTACTACCCTCCCCCTACCCCCATACTCACGTTGTATTTTTTTCCCCTAATGGTTTAAAAGATACACATCAGAAGTTGCAAACTCAAATACATAACTCACTTTTGTAGGTGATGTGTATTTGTCAGGGAAATATTTTTTTTAATTATTTTTTTTCTCCGTTAGGTGGTGATTTTCTGACTTGATCCTTAGTGACCGCAGTCATGTTTTGCTAGTGTCAGGGTGGTTCTTTCATCAGCTGCAGCATAAACCCAGGGCTGTAGTGCCCAGGGCTAATGCGAAGGATAAACTTCTGTTGTAGAAAGACTAGTTTGAGCTATTCTCAGTCCTTTAAAATTATAAGGAAGTTTTCACCCTGCTCTGTACGTACCAAAAGTTATTTCTAATAGTGTAAGTGTTCTTATTATATAAGGTCTTTTTAATCAAAACTGAAGTGAGACCAAGTTGTTGTTTAGTGGCTTATTCTCTTCTGAATTGTTTTTAGTTCATAGTTTGAGAAAACCTCTGAGCTCTGTCAAAGAATGTACAACACATCCTTTGAATACTTGATGTTCAAAAAGTGATATTGTCACATGCAATCAGGGAGCTTGGAGCCTTTGCAGACTCCTTGTTCCTGTGAAGCAATATTGTTTTCAAATAATCTCGGTTGTGGTATTGCTTTCCTTTTATTTATTTTTGCTGTTTCTTCTGCAACTGATTTAGAAGTGGGATAAAATACCCTTAATTTGAACCTGTGAGCCACATAAAATGATATTTATCACCTTGAAGTTCTTTGAGGTAGGTTCTGGAGATCTTGGAACAATCTGTAATAGCTGAGTCCATATCTCTGTTTTCTTTTAGTTATAAGTTGAGAGTGGTCTTGGTGTTAGTGAATGTAATATGTGTCTGTTTTATACAAATAATTAATTTTGAAGTGAAAAATTGATGTGAGAGCAAAGGTTTATTTGGTTCTCATAGCTACTGATTTTATGTTTGCCAAATTTTAAGATGAGAATGTTTACCATTTCTTTTTCCATAACCCTGTTAGGGAAAATTTGGCCATCTAAAGCCTGTTTTTTCAAGTTTTAGGCTTAATGAAAATTATGTATTCTTTCTCTTCTTTGCTCCTACTCCTCTTTTTTTGCAAGTGTGTCTACATAGTGGGAGAAAACCTGAACTTGACTCGGGAAGTACTGGGCGTTCAAAGCAGTGAATCCTTGCAAAGGATCTTGGGACTAGACTGTGAATTGGCTCTTTCAGTTTGTCCACTTAAAAGGCATAATAGATTATGCAGCTGTTTGGACTTCTGCAGGGTGTTACTCCATATTCATGTCTAGTTGCAATTATGTGAATTTTCAGTTTCTTACAAAGACTTCTCTTTGTATTCAAAACAAGTTTTTGGCTTTGTGTTGTTGTAATACATGAATTTCCTTTGAGGAAAAATGCTTGCAAGATTTTGAACTTCGAAAACTGTAAATTTAAATTTAAAACTCTTTATATAAACTTGTTGAAAATATATTTTAAGACGAAGCCACGCTAATTTTCTTTAATTTTTAATTTATTTTTATGAATCAGTCAAAATTTTTGGTAGAGGTGAAAATTACTGAACAAGTTAATGCTATTCAATCAGATAATAATTAATGTCATAGTAATATTTGATGGGCCAAGCTACTAAAACATAAGCAGTTCTAATTAAGCATGTAGCAAAATATAGGAAACTTAATAATGTATACAGTTGGTTTAGAAATCCAAGTGCCTATATGGTATTTCTTTAGAATCTCTGTAGTAAAAATAACATATAATGTAATTTAGCATTTTAAGAGGAGTATACACCTACACCTTGGGGTGCCCATACCACCTTAATACTGTGAAGTAGGGTGAAAAATAGTGTCTACCCTTCTTTTGAAAAAGAACAATAATTTAAAAATAAAACTTAAACCATTCTAAACTTTATATCTGGAGATACCGTCTTCAGAACAAGTTGCCTTTTTGTATTATAGATGACCATTTGCAATGGATAAGCATTAACCTTGGCAAAACACAACATCAAACCTATAAATGAGGGGGTATAGAAATAATTTCTGCCTCGTTTTTTCTTCATTTTTAAGTAGAAAAATCAATCTTAAATGTCATTGAAAATTTTACTCTGTTCTTGTGATTACTGAGAGCGTGTTATCAGTGAATTTGATAGCTTAGAAATGAATTTTCTGCGTTTATACTAAAATTTTCTGTATTTTAGTGCTGTCTATTTTCACTTAAGTTATGGTCTTTAAGTCTTAGAGAAAATATTGTTTTGTTCCTCTTAGCAAAATTTTGCAATGGCTTTTCTGTTGCTGTTTTAAAATTTTCAGGCAAACCATGAACTCTATTGAAAAAGGAGTCTTTATAAAGCATAGCTTCACTTTCAGAGCTCTGTAAAAATATTAAATGACTTAGGTTAAAAGCCTTGTATTTTAAACTGTTGGTCACTGAACTGCAAATTAAAGCTTCTGTGAGATTTTCAGTGGTGTTAGTTTCTTTCTTTTCTACCTAGACAAAAGAGTAAGCAAATAGTATATGATGGGAAAACTGACACATTACCTACTGTTTCTTTAAGAAACCAGCTTATCCAGGGGGAGTTTAGTGTGTTTAACCTAACCTGCTAGCAAGGAAAAGTTCTTTAAAATAATGGATATTAGCTGTATCCAATCACAATTATCAATTTCACTAACTGGGAGGAGATTTTACTGTTGAGCCACTAGAATTGGAGAAGGAGGAGCTTGGTATTCAGGTTTGGTTGCTTGGGAGTACAGCTCCAAGTGAAGTTAATCTGAGGTGAAGCAAACAGAAAATTGTGGAGGTTTTGTTGGTAGGATTTTTGTTCTAATCTTTTAATGATTCTTTATTTTACACTTTTGCTCCTTTATGCTTCTGTGTATGCCAGATTTTGTCATTGTTGCTATTTTCTGATGCAAACTGAACATTAAAATTAAGCAGAGAAGCAGAACAAAAGGGCTGTTTGGACAGGAAATAGGTGTTCAGAGAATCAAACTTGACTTTCTTTTATCATTATTTTTAGACCAGAATTTCAGTGTCATTAAAACATGTTTGAATCAAAATCATCTCCAGTAACAGGCTTTTCTTTTGGATTGGACATTTGAGCAGTCATTTGTCAGTTTTTATAAATGACATCTTGAGAAGATCTATTTGATATGTCATTTTCCTTAAACTTACGATGTTACTAAGTTGCTAAAAGATAGATAAATGTGGTGGGCTTAAATTTATCCTTTTTAAAGACTTGAAATGCCAGCTGTTTAATTTTCTTTTTTACTCCCATCACACCCCCTTTTTCACTTAACTGTATTTTAAATTTAGCAATATATTGGCATTTTTAATATGCTCATAATTTTAGGTTTGTTTTTCAAAAGATCATTGATTCATTTTATATAAAGCAAGGTAAAAACTGCTTTCTTCATTCAAACTTCTTTTCTTTCAAAGGTGGAGATAAGTAACACCCTTTTGAAACAGGAAATAAGAATGGATTTATATTTTTAAGAGCTATAAGTAGGCTACCAAAACTTAAAAAAAAATCTGAATCTGTCAGCGTTTCTACTTATGAAATAATTGTAGTATGTTTCTGTACCAGAAGTTTTCTTTAGAGACTGTTTTCTTTATATTGTTGCTCTTAGATTTTATAGAGATTAAGGTATAAAAGTTTATTTGAATAATCAACCCAAATGCCAGCTAAGCATTTCAGCTAGTATATTTGCATTTGCTGTGCTACTTCTTCCAGATCATGCGAAAGTTCTTGAATTAATGCTATTCTGCTTTATCTATTGCTTAAACAATACTATAATAATAATAATAAAGTCAAGAAAAGTCACGCGTATACCTACAAGAAGATCATTGTGTTGTGGTCTTAACATTTTTTCCTCTTCATTTCTATACCTTACCATATTCTTGTATTTTTCCCATAATAGTAAACAAGTGCATTTTTTTCACTAAACTATATCATCTGTTGTTAAAATTATTTTAATTTCCATTGCTATATAATTGTCCTAGGTTAGTGGGACCTTGATTTGCCTAGTCTTTTGCCTGTTTTACAATTAGATTGTTTCTAATTTTTCATCATTTTCAATGATATTGTATTGAACAGACCTGTGTGTGTAAATTTTAAAATATTTCCCTCTTTTTTTTTTAAAGATTTATTTCTTTTGGAAAAATCCCGTGGACTGGGTTTATCTCAATCAAAGGATATGAACACTTCAGTGGCAAAATTACTTTTCAAAAAGGTTATACCAATTTATATTGCTACCAGCAGGACGTGCTTCAAAATTTCTCTAATGGGTAGTCCCTGAAATGTTCTATTAAAGTGTAGCTCTGAAGCTCTCTAACTTATTGATTAGTTTTTGCCTAAACTAATAGTCTATCTTAAATTCCATTTTTCAAGATGTAGATGGATCTAAATCCATTTTCTGATCATTAAAAAAGCTGAAGGGAATTGGGAAAATATTTACCCACTGAAGTGAGCAATTAGATCTTTGTTGAGTATTTTACTTGTTATATGTATTGCTATCAGTAAGTACAGGGCTTAAGATTTTGCATTGGCATTGTTCAGGCCAGCTTTCCTCGGTACATGTTGCTTCTGGTAAGCACATATCAGAAGAAGTATTTTCTCCCAAGAAAGTATATCAGAAACATTTTCAGAGAGGGGGCTGGAGTAGTGCCGGTTAACAATACTTGTCTCTGAACAGGTATGAATAGTCTTTGTCACTATATGTGCATTTCTGATTTTTTTTATACAATATAGAAACAGAATTAGTATGTATAGATCTAGGTTTTAAAATGGTATAGCAGCGCTGTTCCAGTATTTCATAGGTTTTCAGTTAAAGGTCAGAAGATGACTGTACACACATGTAATGGTACTAGCCCTGTGTTGTTTCTGTTTGTCTTGGAGAGCATTCCTTGTTTGGCAATAACTGGTGATTATGTATACTTTTACCAGCTAGTCTGTTAAATGGAATAGGCTGTAACTGTTCAGGTTATGAACTTGGTAACTAGTATTGCAGAATAAACTTAAATTGTTTTAAAGCAAAATTCAAGATAATTAAAAATATTAATTTAAATTTAAACAGGTAAGTGATGGGTAGGCTCTAACTCATTGATGCACCCGTTAGTTGAGCTGTATAATCTCGAATTAAATAGTCTAGTTCATTTTGCATTTTAAATAATTGAACTTATTTTCTGTAAATTTTTATTTCAATTTACTGATAACTTAATATCTAACTTTCAGAGCTAATGTTGGCATGTTGGCCATTGTGTTTGTTTCTTGGGAAAGGTTTGTGTGTGTGTATTTTGTTTGTCGTGGCTAAAGAGTTTGATTTTTCCAGATACTTTGATATTCTTAACATTTAGAAGAGAAAAACTTAGAGCTCCTCACTTTTAATTAGTGAAATAATTCTTATGAAATACATTTTATATGCATTTATATTTGCTAGATGTGTCAGAATTTATACAAATACCTTTCTTCATGAATAGAACAGTTGTTTTGAGTTTCACTTGAGTATTTAAGATTTGAGTTGGTGCTTAAATATATCATGAATATTTCTATGTTTTGAATTTAAGAAGATGTATTTAATTTTCTTAACAGATTAATCTTTATTGCTACCAGGTAAAGGTGAAGATAATTTTAAATATAACACTTTTGGTGAAAGTCATTTCAAGTTTGGCTGTAGATTACATTTTAATGGATACCCAAAGTAAAGGTTTACCTACTTTTCTAGTACTCTGGGAACGCTAGAATTTTGGGAAACAGTAACCTTTAGTCATTTCTCCATGTATCTCCGCTGTACTGGTCTCTGGTTGGCAAAACTGGGAAGTATCCTTTTAGTACATTGGTTTCACTTGGAGTGTAGAAACCTGTTTTCTAGAGGGAGAAGAAAACTCTTGAAAGGACCTAATACTGAGGCAAGATACAAATAGTGATAGCTCTATTTTAATCTTTTGGAATGGAGAAAAAAGTGATCTAGAGGGGCTATTAAATGTGCATTCAAAATCTCTATTGTTAGTCTCCATTCAAGGGGAATGCAGTGGGGGTTTTTTTTGTTCTAATAACATAAAGAAAAATTTTAATGGGCAGTAAGTCGGTGAAACTTTAAAGAACCTAGAATCAGTGGCTTAGTATTTATAACGTCTCTTTATTCTGTATAATAGGAGGACTTTACAGTTTTGTAATGTTTCTCCTCTATGGCATTTTTATGAAAGTAGGTAAATGTTTTAGGAGTTAATTTCTTTCTTGGTAACATAGGAAGTGCTTATTTACTGATGTGTCTATGAACCTGTTCGAGTGAATCTGATTTTCTGTGTGTGGATGTCATTAGGAAAATGAACTCGAAACATTTTTATGGTTAGTAATGTTTTTATTTTTTGCTGAGGAAGACTGGCCCTGAGCTAACATCCTTGCCCATCTTCCTCTACTTTATGTGTGGGACGCTTACCGCAGCCTGGCTTGCCAAGTGGTGCCATGTCCGAACTCAGGATCCGAACCGGCGAACCCCGGGGCTGCCAAAGTGAAACGTGTGCACTTAACTGCTGCGCCACCGGGCCGGCCCCAGTAATGTTTTGGTGGAAGGGAGCAGATCCATCTCTCTCTTTATATCATTTTTTTTCCTCCCCAATATGAGCACCCTGGGTAGTTCCCCCGCCCCTTTCCTCCCCCCTCGTGAATTTTTGTGAGTACTTATTGATTTCTCAACAAAATTTAGCACTTTCCTTCTTGAAACTCTTCTCATGAGTTTGATGATCCTATGTGGGCTTCCTCCTACTTGTGATCTCTGTCCTTTGCAAATATTTTCTTTTTACAGCCGTTAATTATTGGAATTTTGTTGGATTCTGACCTTAACACTCTTCTCACTCTATACTTCTTGTGTAGTCTGCAATCCCATATCTTCAGTTAACATCTGATATACATTAGTGTTTCTAAGATGCCTATCTTAAATCCAGATCTCTTGTTTGCACTTGAGACCCATATTCATCCAGCTCACAAATGTTTCTTTCATACCTCTGTTAAACTTAACAAAGCTAAACTTAACTGCTTATTTTGTCCTCTCAACCAGTATCCCTCAAATCCTTTTTTCCCTCCTGTCACAGTAGTGGGTGGTACTACAATCCTAGCCAGAACCGGGTGTCATTCTGATTCTTATTCTCCTTCACCTTCAGTTAGTCACAACTTCCTGTCAATTTTAAATCTGTAATATCTCAGGAATCCATCCATTTTTTTCCCTCACCATCTTAACACAGACCTCACTGTGGTTTATCATTTAGATTACTAAAACAGCCTCCTAACTGATCTTCTCTTCCAGTTTTAGCTCTGTAATACTTTCTTCACTATGCGGTCATGTGTGTCTTTCTCTGTTTAAAATTCTTGAGTAATTCCTTGTTGCCCTTTGAACTTTCTTAACTACGGAGGATGAATAATAATTCTAGCTAATTCTGTGCTAAAAATTGTCCAAGGTAGCCCCCAAACAACTTGAAGAAGTAAGTGTTGTTAACCTTCATTTAAATAAGTGAGACAATTTGGAAAGGCTACCTAATTTGTCCAAGGTTGCCTTAGCTGGTAAATGACTAGCAAAATTTGAACTGAAGTTTGCCAGACCAAGTCCTGTCTCTTAACCACTGACTATGTGCCTTCCTAAGCTGGCCTCTGCTTACTTAACTCCATCCTTTTTTTCCCCACACCACTTCATTTCATCCTCTAACCAACTATTTGCAGTTCCTCTTTCTAGGGCATACTCAAAACTTGTTGCCTAAGTCTGAAAGTGCTTTAAGGAAAACATTTTTTAAAAAGCATTTCAGACAATTTTTTGGAAC